GGAATGCCAGGCCATTGAGACAAACTTACATGAATGATGTGCGTTGTGGAGTTCTTATCATCTGTGCCAACAAAAAAATTTATGAGGACCTTTTTCCCATACTTAGCATTTAGTTGTGCAATAGCTGTCTCAACTGTCCAGTTTCCACCTAAAGAATTGAACAATGAACTTAGTCTTGATACTTTTGGAAATAATGAAAAATACAATCAAGAAGTTTTAACAGAAAGATAAATAGAAAAGCTTGCCCTACCATATACAGCGTCCCAGTCACTTGTTGCAACAGGCCAGTCAAACACAGTTGGCAATATATCGATTAAAGGTTTTCCACCTCTGCTATCAATAGCAGCTTTTGAAAATGGTAAAAGTTGGGTCAGTATTAGTTATATGCATATTTTAAGCATGTAAACACTATGCTGCCTTTTATAAACTAAAGTTCCCTGTTTCTGTGACTGCAGCTGAGAAACTTGCCCTTCAACCAAGCTTTCATCCTCACCATCTCCAGTGTTGGAGGACAGTAGTCCAGAATCAATGGGCACCTATACACGTTCATCGAGGCTGCTCCAAAGTGCTGGACTCAATTAATTGAGTCTGCTGGAGCATGCTAATTACCATGCCCCTCTTCCCCTCCATCTCCTGGAGCATGTGTATAAACATCCTAAGATTTTATATTTAAAACTACTTCTTATGATTACAAACAATGCCCAAGCCCTTAAAAAGGTGAGACAATGTCAATTTAAGTAGCGTTGTCTTCCTGAGACTGCCTAGAGCTTTAAACAATTGTTCCAAGTCACACTACTTAGCTCAGGAAACTGTGAAATCTAATGATATCAATTCATATGCGAATATAACTACTTTCACTGCCTGTTATTCTAGTGTTATTCCAAACTCTCCCCCCCATGTTTTCTGGATGTCCAAAGTCCCAACTGTCCTGAAGCCACAAATTTGCATGGTACAATTTTTATTTGCCAGAACAAAAGTCTGCAGCACCCTGAATACTGAAAAGGAAAGACCAGAGGGAAGCAACTCATTTAATGCCAAAATTAATAATACAAGAACTACTTTGTACTGATTTGCATTACTTATATGCATATTTAATTCTACAAAACCTACGTATTTTAGTTTACAGGAAGCCGAGTCAGAACTTCCCAGCTGCTTCAAAAGAATGCCACACAAGCCAATGTTTTTGTAGTAGAATTTAGGAACACATGAATTAGATGCATTACATTTATAAATCTTATGTATAGTAATTTGTGGATAAACTTACTTTCATTTATACATGATCTATACAGAGTTTTTGCTTTCTGCACTGCTGCTATGTTGTTATTGTCTGGCTTGTCAAGGACATCTAAAACAAACAGAATAATTACATGCAATACCTTACAGCATCTGATCTGCATGCAAGGCGACTGGAGGACACTATGGAGGAAGTCAGCTGGGGGCACAGAGAATAGAGGATCTATAGCTCTGCACCATGCCCCTTGTTCTTCTCAAGTCCCTTTACTTCAGGTACAAAGGAACAGGGCTCCGGAGGTACCATGTTTGAGTGGGGAGGTGCTTTGGATCATCTCGCCCCAGCCCACAGGTGTTTCCTATCATGTTTACATGCTACAGAGTTCCCCTCTGCACAACAACTCCCACCCCTGACTGCTGAGGGACTGTTTGCAGAGATTAAAGATTCTGGGTAGCTAGGTTTAGAGATGAAGCCTGAGGAACAGTATAGAGACACTGAGTGTCTGTGAAAATAAACCTGATTCACATGACCGCTATGAGGTATGCAAACATAGCAAGTCTTAATCCCAGGATGCTTTGTGCAGTGGAGGACAGGATCTAAATCCCAAGAAAAGGATTGGAAGAACATGCCCCCGTTTGAACTCAGGGAGTTTCTTAACTCTCATGCACTTTTCCTTTCATGGGAGATGATATGGCCCACAATCCTGAATTTGCTCTTGGTACTTTGTGATACATTGTAAAAATGGAATGGTGATATGCCTTTGGTCATAGTCGCTGAAATGTGTCTGCTTGTTAGGCCACAGCTGAAGGAATACAGACATGCAGATTGTAAGGCTGGCAAAGAGCAACTTCCAGCATGTGGAAGTGTTCCGATTGGCTTGGATACAAGGAGACTCCTTTTTTCTTCATTTAGTACAGCTGCCACCTGTAGCTCATGGGTAATGATTTGGGTTTCAGCTGTTGTAATATCCAGATACATACAAAAAAAGTAGTCATCACAGGGGTCAGGTCTGGACAAACGTGCTCCAGTGCCCAAAAGCATAACTCCTAAAGCTCAAATTATTAGCCAAGCAAATAGTTCAGGGATAAGAACTGAATACAGAAGACATTTGATTTATCTAGTTAGATAACAGGTTTTGTTATGATTACATATAAGCCATGGAAGAAACTTTATATAGTCCGTAGAAATAAACTCCACTGACCTTTCAGAACAACTTCTAGTTCATCTCTTAAAATGTCAAAGTTACTATAACGGGAGCTTGTCTCTGGAATGACCTTCCTCTTTAGCCATCCTCCACAGGCATATTGGTAAAAATCTTTACAAGGCTCTGCAGTGGTGTCCATGTTTTCAATGATTCGGGCTGCTGTAGGGTAAGACAGAGCAACACATGAAAAAACCCACAGGTCAAATAAATATATAATAAATATGGAATTTTAATTTGGAAAGGAACCAATAAACCTCTTGTGGTTAAGATACTCTCAGAACAATTCTCCCCTCCCCTAAATACACAAAACATCTTTTTTGCATCAAATGAAAGCTAGGAAGTATTTTTATAATACTTAATATACAGAAAACAGCTAAGTCATCCATACAAAAGCTTGTGGGGAGGTGGGAAATGATTATTTCCATTTTACCAATAGGGACTCTTAGATACAGCTTACTCATGGCCAAATGGTGAGTCTGCAACCCTCTTCCCACCCCACCTCTGCACAAATTCCCAAGCTTGGGCACATCCCTTGAGACCATACACAGAAATTTATGCTCTATTTCATGATTTATACTCTAATTCACTAAATATAAATTATCTGATGTTATTTTTCACAGAAAGGTGTTTTATACTAAAAGAGAAATGGGAAAGAATCCACACTGTTGGGAGAAAACAGTCTAAAGCAGCACTCTGGTACTTATTTAAAGAAATTTTAAAAATTAGATAATGCTCATTAATGCTAATAAACTGAAAAAACATCAAAACAACATTTAGAAACCCCAGTTCTTTCAGTGTCATCCTTCATTGAGCCAAATGCTGAAATAACATTTTAGTTGCCAGTGGTTTCTAATGAGAAAACTGATACTTTCAGTCCAACTTAGCATTGTGATTGATTGTTCATTATTGCTTTAAATTATATTTAAAGTTCTTATGTTTCATTTACTGATTTACACCTTGTAATAAAATGTGGTTAGGACAGCATTTAAATTATGAAGGAATTTCCTCTTTAAAAGACGGAATAATTCACCAGAAGAGTCAGGAGAATAAAGGAAAACAGAGATTGTACATGCGTGTCCAGTTCTTTAGAAAGGAAGGTTCTTAGTTTATAGAATTAAAAGTTTTGCTACAAATTTCAGTAGAGTGGGAGATTTGAGGGCCTGCTCATTTAAAAACCACATCCCAAGATACTATGAAGACCCCAGGACCACCACCCTCAGGGTTGCCACTCTCTAATTTTATTTATTTATTTTTTTACTGACAGTCTGCAAACTTTTTACAGACAAGAATTTTTTTATTGACATATATTTTACTTAACGTTACATAATGTAACCTGAAATAGCGCATGTGTATGCACGTGCACACACACACATACAGAATCCAAAGGGGTTTCACCCTGCTTCCCTGGAGGGGGATGTACTGCAGGGGGTCCATGAGGAAGCTGGTATGAGCGCAAAATGGGGATACTCCAAGCCTCACCCCCTGTGCTTAAACACATACCACTAAGTCTTGGCTGCCCACTTCCCCCTGAGAACAAGAGAGGAGGAAGCCTACTTCCCACATGTGTAATACCCAAGTGTTTCCCCTTTCTGAAGGTCCTGGTAGGGAGCACTGTGGGACAGAAGGTTTGCCAAGTCTTCATACATTTTAAAGATTTTGAAATATTTCTATGGACTTTAGGACAGGGGTTTTTATCCACCTGTTTACAGATTGTCCATAAAATTTACAAACGATTGGCTACCCTGATCATCACCAAATTAAAGAACTCAACCACTTTGGTTAAATGAGAAATATGAGGTGATAGTGATTGTTGGCTTTTTCATACATTTTTCTGTAGAGAAACATCAGATTTATACCTTGAAAGTATTTTTTACTTGCTGCAATTATGGAAAGCCCTCTGCAACCAAAAACAGAAAAACAAAGCCAGTAGTAGAAGACATTAAGCAGATGGAAAATATGCATTGGGCTTTTATGGAAGACAAATATTTGGGACTCAGGAAGAAAGAAAGATGCATGTGCTGGAAATACACTGAAATATGTAAAAGGAAGAGAAATCAATTTTTGAAGGAAAGATAGAAATAAAAATGAAAAGTCAAAGTTTTCTCAGCCTGACAGGATTTTTTAAAGCAAAATGGTACAAGCCTTGTTTTTTCTATATGTCTGTAATGCTCTGTAGTAAATAATTACATCATTCTTACAAATAAATAAAAAATATATCCTAGACTGTTGAACTTGGATCCGTTTTTTAAACTTCAGATGAGAGTATGTATCATACGCAATCTGTTGCCTATTACCTTTAAAAAGCTCTATTTATATATTTCTTCATAAAAGCATAAAATGAAAGAATTATGTTCAACTATTTTATAATGTACTTTGAATAAACAGCATACCCTGACAATCCCTACGACATTCAAAACAGGCCAAGATAAACACACACACAAATTTCAAAATTTAAAATACCAAATACAAAACTTGGCACTATGACTGCTGTTGCAAAGTGTTAGAAGTCTGTGATTAAAATCACAGTTTTCTATGAAATACTTATTCACTTGAAGCTAATGTGACTATTTTTGCACCTAAAAATGAAGGACGTGTGTAGGCGTTTTGGATAATGGTATGAGTTATTGTAATTGATGTATATATTACTAATTAAGGTTGAATAGCCTCTATTTTGCACGAATTCAGATTTAAATGATCAGGATAATTCCTTCCATGTCCAGGGACATCAGCAGCTGGGTTAGATTGGCATACCTCCATGGACTATGTCAACTTATGCCAACTGAAGATCAGACACTATTACGGCACTATTACAACCCTGTTTCCAGGATTATTTCTGTTTTTTTCATTCACTGACCATGTAATATGATGCATATTAGCAGCTGTAGGAGCAGGAACTGGAACCCAGCACACCCCTTATTCTTATGTGAATGCCCTGAGCATTAGGCGCCAGAGTCTGGCTCTCTTTTTTTGTTCCCTCCACTAAGCCCCAAGAATCCATCATCCCTTTCTGTACAATGTACCATTTTCAAAAGGAGGGCTGAAGAGTACCCTGTACCCTGCCTAGCTTACAGCCTGGTATGTAGAAAATGCTCCTAGGAGGTAGAAGGTATAGATTTGTGCACTATGGGTACGTCCAGACGAGTCCAGCCATGCGGTATGTGGTGCCGCAAACAAGTCTGCAGAGCCACATACCGCAGAGTCAGGCATTCTCTGCACTGAAAGGGCACGCTGCTTGTGTGTGCTCTGCTCTGTTTTTTCTCCCACAGGTTTTTTTGACCCCTGGATGTCCAGGGGTCAAAAAAACCCATGCGTGGGGTGGGGGGTGGGGAGGAGGAATGGAGCAGCACACACAGACAACATGCACCACTGAAAAGCAGAGCCGGGTTGTGTGTGGCAGAATTGCCGCTGCTGCAGCCCTGGGAGGCCCCCCTGACCCCAAGTAAGGCGTCTGGGGCCAGCACAGTCCTGGCCCCAGGCTCCCCTGCCGCCCCCAGGGTAACTTGCAGCACGCCAATGTACAAGGTGCACTGCTGCTACTTGTCCCTGGGGAACCAAACATCCACACTTGTCTAGATGTGGCCTATGAGGCCATTGAACCTGGATCTTCTACTTCCTGGATGAGTGCTTTAACCACAACACATAAAAGTGGGCATCACCATCTTCTCCTCCAGCAGCTATTTTAGAAGTAAAGTTAGAAGTAAAGTTATTAAAACTTTGTCAGAGGCAAGGATTTTTTGGGTGATACATTTTATTGAACCAATAAAAGATAGTTTGGATATAGTTAGCTAAGATTTGGAATGTAAGGTGTTCTTCTGTTCAGGTCTGAAGAGGAGGGTAAGCACAGCAATCATTATGAACAATGGATAGAGCTGTAAAATTGGAGGGAGGGAGAAATTCCCAGAGGTAGCAAACAATTAGCGGAAGGAAAGAAGAATGATTACTGTAAGATCAAGACCTAGCAAAAGGGAGGAGGGTCATGTAGAAAAAAATTAGGAATTGGGTAGATCAGTGTGCCAAAAAATCAATGTTGATATTCCTTGGTTCCTAGTAACCCAACCAGCTTATGAATTTTTATTCATAAGCTTGTCTTTTAAAAATGCTTGGTAGATTTCCCTTTAGCATGCAAATAGTGAGGTCAGAAAGAGAATATTTGTTCTATTTCATAGATTTCATAGACATCAGGGCTGGAAGGGACCTCGGAAGATCATCGAGTCCAGCCCCCCGCCCAAAGGGCAGGAAGTCAGCTGGGGTCATAGGATCCCAGCAAGATAAGCATCCAGTTTCATCTTGAAGGTGTTCAATGAAGGCGCTTGAACCACCTCCAGTGGCAGGCTGTTCCAGACCTTGGGGGCTCGGACAGTAAAGAAGTTCTTCCTTATGTCCAGCCTGAAACGATCTTGAAGTAGTTTGTGACCATTCGACCTCGTCATCCCTTGGGGCGCTCTGGTGAACAAACGTTCCCCCAGATGCTGGTGGTCACCCCTGATAAACTTGTAGGTGGCCATCAGATCACCCCTGAGCCTGCGCTTTTTCAGGCTAAAGAGCCCCAGGGCTCTCAGCCTGTCATCGTAGGGTCTGCTTCCCTGACCTCTGATCATGCGCGTGGCTCTTCTCTGGACTCTCTCAAGCTTCTCCACATCCTTTTTGAATTGTGGAGCCCAAAACTGGACACAGTACTCCAGCTGCGGCCTCACTAAGGCTGAGTACAGGGGGAGAATGACATCCCGGGATTTGCTTGAGAAGCATCTATGGATGCAAGCCAGCATTTTGGGCGCTTTACTAGCCGCCGCATCGCATTGCAGGCTCATTAAAAATGTGCTTCTACTGACATATGTGTATCTGTGTCTTTTCTATATTTTTTCTAAGTGAGTTCATTCTGGTGCATAGTTACTGTTTAAGTTTCATCCATGTAGTTACCATGGGGGCATTTGGTGCACTGGATCAGATGTATCAGATTTTGGGAAAGTAAGAACCATGGGTTCTGATCGGTTGGGTTTGGTTATTTTTTTGGCTGGGGGGCAGTGTTTTTATAGTAGCAGTTGAGATGTATTGACCCTTGCTGAAGAATCTGTGTCTCACCCTGATGTCTGCTGGGCACTGAGGATTTTGCTTCTGATGATGAGAGTTGGACAAGGGCAGGAGATTGTTTGAAAGCCAGA